TGTGTGTGTGTGTGTGTGGCCAGCTCAGCCACCAGGGGGCAAGGCTGGCTGGCATGTGGTGCTGGGGGATTGAACTGCAGTCCATGTGCTTTGCTAAGCTTGTTCTAAATAGGTGCTTTAGACCACTGAGCCATCTCACCAGCCCCTTGTTTTTGTTTTTAGGGGAAAAGCCATTTACTTGTGAAATTTGTGGCAAATCTTTCACAGCAAAGAGTTCTCTTCAGACTCACATCAGAATTCATCGGTACGTTTTGCAGACATTTCAGTGTTGTGGAGGCTGCCTTTAACTCTGGGTGCCCCATGGGGTGACCTGTTAACCTACATATTCTTTTTACCTAAATTGTTACTCTAGTATAATTTTCTGTGTTTATTTATCCGTAATAAAATTCTTTACCCAAAATTAACAGAACTGATCCTGGCCAGTAAAAAAGTATGTTGTTGATTTCATTTACTGAATTTTCATTTTGTGTTGGAGACTGGCCCTAAGCTTAAATCATCAATCAAAAATAGCCATTAAGGTGGCAGATGCCATTAATTCCAGCAGTTGGGAGGCTGTGGCAGGAGGGTCACTAGTTTCAGGCTAGGCTGAGGTACATGTCAAATTCAAGGCCAACCTGAACTATACAGCAAACCCAATAAAAGGCATTAAATTTAATATTTCTGAATGAATATTTTGTCCACTAAAATTACTCTCAGCTTGGATTTAGGTGTATTTCTACAACTTCACAATTTTGTAATATGTATATTAATCATATATATTTGTCCACTTGAGTCTGAAAATTGGCTGTAAGAACTAAAAGCTAAAAAGTATATATAGTGTGTAAATATTTACTTATGTAAAATATATTCCATAGAATCATAAAATTTTATCACATCTAGCCAAACCCCAACTGCCATCCTTCTTCAAACACCACTCCTACCCTTTTTATATTTTACTTTTTAAGAGTAGAAACGGAAGCGTTTCTACATGGAAGTGTGACTCACTGTAAATCTGTAAGTTAGCAGGAGGACCTGTAACTGACTCACAGTCCAGTTGGTATTAGTACTTACTCTATTCTTGATTGCTTCTCCCCAGATAAACAGGAAGTTATAAATAGGTATTTCTGGTTTCTGTTTGTTTTTGCAGTACTGGGGATTGAACGCAGGGCTTTTGCAGTAAGCTGCATTCCCAGCCTTCTTTTTTGTCTTATGCTGAGATAGATAGGGTCTTGCCACATTGCCAGGTTGTTCAGAATGCTGAAATTTTTGATCCTCCAGCCTCAGCTTCCCAGAGTTCCAGGACTACAGGTAAGCTCCAGCAGGTCTGGCTTCTGTGTTTAAAATACAACATATATTTTCTTGTAGCGGAGAAAAGCCATACTCCTGCAGCATTTGTGGCAAGTCCTTTTCTGACTCCAGTGCCAAGAGGAGGCACTGCATTCTCCATACAGGCAAGAAGCCTTTCTCTTGCTCTGAGTGTAACTTGCAATTTGCTCGCTTAGACAACTTGAAGGCTCACCTGAAAATCCACAGCAAAGAGAAGCACACACCTGAAGCCAGCAGCGTTTCCAGCAGTAGCCACACCGAAGAGGTCAGGAATATTCTTCAGCTACAGCCCTACCAGCTCTCTACCTCGGGAGAGCAGGAGATTCAGCTTCTTGTGACTGACTCCGTACACAACATCAACTTCATGCCGGGTCCTAGCCAGGGTATCAGCATTGTGGCCACGGAAAGCTCCCAGAACATAAGCACAGACCAGGCTGCTGACCTCACTCTGCTCACACAGCAGCCAGAGCAACTGCAAAGTCTAATTCTTTCAGCTCAGCAGGAGCAGACTGAGCACATTCAGAGCCTCAATATGATTGAAAGCCAAATGGAGCCCTCCCAGACAGAGCCAGTACATGTCATCACACTGTCCAAGGAGACCCTGGAACGTCTTCATGCCCATCAGGAGCAGACAGGGGGGCTCCACTTAGCAAGTGCTTCAGACCCTGCTCAGCACCTGGAGCTGACACAGGAGCCCGAGCTGCCATCCCCCACTCACCATGTGGCCCAACCCTCACCACTTAGCCAGGAGCAGAGCTGACCTGCACACCTGGTGACTGCTCCTGGGCCCAGCCCATAAGCCAGCTCTAGCCAGGTGATCAGCGTGCCATGTCTGAGATACCTGGTTACACAGCTCTGCCAAAAAGTGCTGCCAGAAGATAGCTGTACCTCCCTGTATCCACACAGCAAGGGGCAGGGGTGTGCGGGTCTGAGATGTAGTGCAGATGTGTATTCAGCACTTCAGTATTGATGAATGCTTTTCATTCTCATCTGCTAGGTCTCTTAAGAACTGGCTAGTTTTTCTTAAGGGTCATTGATCCAGGCTTTTCTATAAGCATTTAATGTTCATGTAAGTGTGATTTTATCGACCTACGTCCATTTTTTACTATTTAGGACAGAGGAAGCTGTATAGGTTGCATTGGGTAAAGTGGTTGGTTCCCCTTCTCTTCCTCTAAGGCCATAGAATTGCCACTGCAGAAATCAGCTGAGTTTAGAGAATCTATCCTTTTAATAACTTACAGTCCCCTAGGGCAGAGTAACTTGACATTTAATCTTTGTGTGGCACCATAGTGTCTTTCAAAGCAGATTCAAACTCATAAAATGTATTCAGAACTCAAAAATTGTAACAGGAAAGGCAGAAATATGCTTTAAAAATTATGAATTCATGTTTTGTGTAAAACCTGACATCTATTTTAATAGCAGGCTATGAAATTTTTTAAGTATTAAAGTATGAAATTGGATCAAAACATTCATCCCAGATAAACTGAATTTTGTCAGAAATGATATTTGAATTTCATGATAAAGTTAAAAGCTTAATTATCTTCGGATATAAAATTGCATTCACTGTAAAGTGTTGAATATACTGAATTCTAATTGATCTCTGAATATACTAATCTGTGTCTTGAGTCTAATAACTTTGGGGATGTGGAGACTTGCATTCTTTTTATGTTAGACTGTCAAATTCCACAAAGTGGATGCATCATTTTTATTTATTCATTTATTTATTTTTGGCAGAATCAGGGATCAAACTCAGGCCCTTTTGCACAAAACTTTTTCTTTTTTTGCAGAACCGGGGATTGAACTCAGGTCCTTGCGCTTGCCAGGCAAGCGCTTATTCTACTGAGCCATCTCACCGGCCAGGATGCATCATTTTTAAAAGTATCCTTTTTTTCTTGCAATACAGGGAATTGAACTCAGGACCTTACACTTGCCAGGCAAGCACTTATGCCACTGAGCTATGCCCCCAGCCCAAAAGCATCTTTTTTTTAAGCTTAACAATTTTAGGCCTCAGACAGTGACCAGCATGTCATGAAATTTTTTAAATAATTGGCAAAATATTAGATTTGGGATAGGTTATCAAGTTCACTGTATTTAATTGAATTCTTTGACCATTTTTCTCTTGTAAACTGGTAGGGACTTTTGAGAAAGAAGGGATTCCCATTATATAGAAAGTTAACATAGAGGTGCTAGAAAGCAGGTATGAAATTAATAGAATCTTCACATCAGTTGTTTTCTTGCTTTAAACATCTTTTATTTCCCCCTGAATCCAGTAAATTCTTTGGAAGTTAAATAGAGAATTGAGATGAAAATATTTTTGTATTTGTGTACTGTATATTTGCCCACTTATATTTTACTATGTGTATCTCACAATATTTCCAAAATAATATAGATCTTATAGGTATCAAACAAAATAATATTAAATCAGGACTGGAACAAAAGTATAAGTTTTACAGATACTGTTACACCTTAACATTATTTAGGTTTTTAATTTAGTTATCTAAATTATTTAACTTTAGTTTTTCTGGGGGTAGGTTGTAAGTTGTTTTGCAGTGCTGGGGATCAAAGCCAGGGCCTCATACATACTAGGCCTACTCTCACCCCTCAATGTTATTCTTCAACCTGAAGTTCTTACAGCTTTTCAAAGCTTCCTGATCCACATTTTCTCCCCAGGAAATACATAGTTTAAGTGACGTTTTACTCACTTTAAATAGGCAATTATTCAGAAAGCACAGTTATATGGCCCTTTATTTTGATGCCAGAGATTAAATCCAAGACCTGCACACACTATGTATGAGTTTTATTGTGCTACAACTCCAAACCACATAGTGTTATTTTTGCCTTCTTGCCTGCCTTTTCTTTTTTCTTCCTTCTTTCCCTTTTTCTTTTTTTCCTTTTTATGTCTTTCAGGTTTTTGGGTTTGGTTTTGTTTTTTGAGACAGGGACTCACAATGTATTCTAGGCTGGCCTATGTAGTCCAGACTGGCCTTATAGTTGGGCTGGGGCAATCCTCCTGCCTCAGCCTGTCAAGTGCTGGAACTACAGGTATGCACCACCACACCTGGTTCTTTGTCTTTGAACGTCCTCTGTTTGTATTACCCAAACTGATGTTTGGGTAATACTGGCCTCACTTCTGGCCTCAGGTGATCCTCCTGCCTCAGCCTCGGAGTGGCTGGGACTACAGCCAGGTGTCATCATAGCTGACCTTTATAATAGCGTACTGCTGAGTGAGTAGGCAGCATGAACAACAGTGGTGATTTTAATTTTCTAGTAGCTACATTTAAAAATGTAAAAAGCAGCAGCTGAAGTTAATTTTAGGAAGCTTATTTAATCCAATATAGTGTTTCCCAAATAATGTAGAATACAAATGTGTTAATATTTCATGCCTTTTTCATACAATACCTTCAAAATCTAGTGTATATTTTACACTTACTGCACATCTGAAATTTATTTGCTAATGTTGATCTGTATGTAGGTTTTGTACAATTTACAGTTGAAAATGTCAAATTCTGCTCAATTGTAAATTTTTTAATAACTAAAACAAGTACCAGTTTTTTCATTTTGCCGAGTTGCACTCCCACATCACAGGTGGTTAGCACAGGTGGCTTATGACTCCTGTGGTGGGTGGCACAAGCCCATCCCTAGCTTGAGCTGTGGTGACAGCCATCCCTGGATCTCACTGCCCACCAAAGCATCAAGCAGTCACTTTGCCCTTTGTGGCCCTTGGATGAATCCCTTCTGGATGGATGAACTAGAAGTTTGGGGTCTTCTAGTCCCAAAGTAAATGAACATGAAAATGCTTTCATTAGGTCCTTGGGAAATCCTAAGGCTAGTGCAGTACTTCGCAACTCATTCTGCATGGTTTACAATCTTTCTTTCTTTCTTTCTTTCTTTCTTTCTTTCTTTTTTTTTTTTTTTAAGACTGGGTCTCACTTTGCAGTACATGCTGACATTGAACTCATTTTGTAGCACAGGCTGATTCTGAACTCCAAGGATCATCCTGCCTCAGCCTCCCAAGTGCTGGGATTACAAATGTGCTGCCATGCCTGCCTTGTGATTTACAATCTTAAAAATTCTTTTTTTTTTATTTTTTTCGTTTTATAATAGGCCCAAGCTGGCCTTAAAACTTGTGGTGATCCTCTTCCCCCAGCCTTCCAAATGCTGGGATTATAGGTGTGAGCCACCATGCCTGGCAAAAATTGTTTTAACAAGCACAGAAATACAGAGTGCTTTTTGCAGGAAATACAGCATGCTTTTAAGCTACTACGAAGCAAGCTACTTTGAAGACGAATGTTTGGTTTTCTCTTAGCCTGGCTCTATCAAGCTCTCGTCATGAAAACAAATTATTCACATACTTGCTGAGTTTCCTAAAAGTACCCTTTTTATTTTTTTGAGACAAGTTCTCATTATCTAATACAGGGTAGCCTGGAACTTACAGTGATCCTCCTGCCTCAGCTTCCCAAGTGCTGGGATTACAGGCCTATGCCCAATATGCTATAGTTGGCTTTTATGTTGTCAGCTACAAATTCTTTGATACTAAAGAATAAAGGAGTGGCCGGCCATATAGCTCAGCAGACTTAAGGCACCTGCTTAGGCAGAGCACAGTGGCTGGGGTTCGATCCCCAGTGTGCTGTGCTGGCCCCGCCCCGGGTTGCGCTGAGATGGCTGGGTGTGGTGGAGCGCACCTGCAATCCCAGCGCTTGGGAGGCTGAAAACAGGAGAATCGCTAGAGTCCAATCTGCAGTGAGGCCCTGTAGACCCTGTACTAAATACATTTTTAAAAAGAAGAATAAAGGGAGATTTTCATCTTCTGGTTTTCATAAATTAGGGTATGAAATGGCTACACGTGGAGGCTTTTTTTTTTTAATGAATGAAGTCTTGCTGAGTTGCTTGAGCTGGTCTCAGCTTTTCAGCCCTCCTGCCTCAGCCTCCTGAGCAGCTGGAGTTACAGGCATGCACCACCACGCCTGCTCACTCAGAATCTTGAGCCAGGTGTGAAGCTGTGTGTTAGGTGTGTATTCTGTCCTCATGACTCTCAGACCTGTCCCCAACCTGCATGGCACCCGGACAGCAAGCTGTTCACCCTGTGGCCTGCCTCATTTCCCCTGTGGCCACGATGTGTTAGTTGCTTGAGCAGCCATAACAGTAGCACAGGCAAGGGAGTTTAAGCAGGAATTTCTTTTCTTACAATTCTGTAAATTAAAATGGTGAGAACAGAGTGTCAGCAGGGCTGGGTTTTTGTGAGGCCTCTGCTGGGCTTACAGCTGGCTGTCCACTGCCTGTGTGCTGTACACACTTCTCCTGGCTTGTCTTGTGGCCTCATTGTGTAGAGATGTCTTTATTTGTAACAAGTACCTCTTTAAAGGTTCTGTCTCCAAATATAACCCCATGCTAAAGTGCTAGGAGAGGGAGAGCTTCAATATGTATGGGGAGGGCGGCAGTGATTCAGTCTAAAACAGCATCTGGAGTAAAGAGCCTGGTCAAAACACACCTCTCTCTCCCTCACTGACGCAGGTCTTAATTTTCCTTACAGCCCTGTGAAGTAAGTACAATTATGATGATTAGGCCCATTTTAAAGATGAGAACATTGAGGCCCACACAGATGATGTCTGTTGCTCAAGGGGATGTGAGTGGCAGAGCCAGAACTGGGGCAGAAGCCTGATGGAGCTCACTGCCACTTCCAGCAGATGGCTTGAGACCAGAGGTGAGCATCTGCGTCTAGAGGTCAGCATGCAGGCAAACCCTTAATAGGGAACAGGCGACCATGACAGCCTCCAGAAGTGGATCGTTTCAGGAGTCCTCAGTACCTTAATACTACTGATGGGTGTAACGTATGATCAGAGTTTACCAAAATGCAAATGCCTTAGCTGACCTTATCTGAGTGACCTCTTCTTTCAAGGACACATTAAAACAAAAATTTAAGTTTAGGACAGATTTGTTTTATAAGTATTAACATGGAAGTTTTTTATTTTGTGAAACAGGCTCTCATCTTTTAGCTGGGTTAGGCTCAAATACGAGATTATCCTGCAGCCTCCCAAATGCTGGGATTAGAGGTGTGTACCACGAAGCCCACCTTTGAATTTGGAATACCCATAATAATTCCTTAATATCCATAATATATCACCCTAAATGTGAATTTGAAGACAAGTTCCCAAAACACTAGTTGGGCTCTTGGCCTTACTCCACTCATACTATATTTTGTTAAATGAAAAGTTAAACTGAAACTCCCTTAGGCTAAATTAAGTTAAAATTACACTAAAAAAAATTTAATAGTATGTGTTTGCAGTACATAATAAGCACATTCATCATGAGGAGATGGCACATGAATATAACACCTTTCTATATCCCCTTCTTAAAGAAGTTTTTAAAAAATCATCTCACTTCTGTTAGGTTTAAGCTTTTGGACAAATTCGTCCTCTTAATTTTAATGTTTGAAAGACAAGCAGTCTTGTAATGAAGGATGAGAAAGTAAACTGACTGAGCGTCAGGTTTTAACGTGTGCCGCCTCCCTCTCAGGTTTAGAGGCCCAAGGTGTTGGCTTGGAGTCTTGGAGACCGTGCTAGCTGTACAAGCAACAACTGAGGGAATCAGAGAGCTGAAGAATCAGGTGAAGGGCTGAATGTGTGTGTGGTTCATCCAGTCTAAGCCCAGAAAGCTGAGGCATTCTTAATGGGCTGGCCTCATGCCCCACAGAAAACACATCACCGAGGTCAGGTCCCTTTGGAAGCCACCCTTTCTCCTGCCTGCCGTGGACAG